TTTTATCAGTTAAGTTGTTTATGTCTTTGCATGGCATTGAGTTATTCTGTTGAGTCAGGTTTCCGCTGAGTTAAGAAAGCCAGGCCAAGGGTTCGCTTGGGGCCAGCAATGGTCTCCGAGTGCCGGTCCCGCCCAGGGTGTAGGCTCGGGGCGTGACAAACTTGGTATCAGAGCACAGAGTTCAAGAGTCCTAGGGAGTCTATGAAGCCGTGTCTGTAGAGTCCTAGTTATCGGTGTGAAGCGCGCCACATCTATAATTGGGAGGCTACAACATTTAGGAAGATTTCTCACTTCTTTCACACTCATCTCGTGCGTTAGAGTTTATCTCTAGAAAGTTTCTTTCTAATCCGTGCTTGCGCGTGTTTTCAGATAGTCATGCCTCTATGAAGAGTTGGTAGAGGGCGTCTTCCTAGACGTTATGTTGATGAGCAAGAGTTACCTTATGCACCTGGAGTGCAAGATCAAGGGGAAGTTTCTAATGCCGAGTTCAGAGAGGCAATTAGGATGTTGAGTCAAGCTGTAACTAATCAAATTGGTCAGCAAAGGGGAGCTCGACAGGAAGGAGCAAACACTTCTCAGATTCGTGAGTTCTTGGGGATGAATGTTTTGGTAAGTTTCTCTCTCTTTTAAAATAAGTTCACATTAACTGATCGTATCTTGGATTATGAGTAGCTAAATACCCTACTTCTAGGGTTGTGGCTACATGATGATTGTAATCTATTAAGTTTTCATTGGGTGAATGTCAATTATCATATGAATCTTTCTTATGTTCTTGTTTTTTTTGTATTTCGTGACTGATCACCATTGAAATAAATATATTGTCCAAATTGAACTCGGGAGAGGAATAATAAGATAGAACTTGGGACAAAAAGAGCATGATTAATTCTTAATAACTAGGGTTAATTTGTATCTAGGATAGGGATATACCTAGAAACCATGCTTGGGTCACTATACAGGAAGAAATCGTAATGCTCGATACTTAATCCATCATATCCCCGTCAACGATGTAGTTAGGGTGTTATTTATCGTAGGCGATTAGAGGTTGGGAGACCATGATCATACATTTAACCCTGTGATTCATTGATTTGATAGTTGATATATACCTATTTAAATGATAGTAATTGCATGAATCCTAATAAAAGTTGCAGCCCTAGACTTTACCCAATCACTGTTTTTATATCCTTGAAATTGAATCGCGTTTGTTACATTTTGTTACAATCTTAGAATTAGAGCATAAATCACTTTTGAAATCTTCACAACACTCGTGCTTAGCTGAAAGTTAGAGAAACTAAGTGTTTCTAAGCATAAGTCCCCGTGGGTACGATACCCAGCTCTTTGTAAGAGCCACTTTAATACTTGAACGACCACGTGCACTTGCGTGTGCGATTTGGACGCAACAGTGACCACCACAATAGATAAATTTTATTTCTTGATTATCTTAAAACATCATTTGGAACTTCCATGTACTCTCTGACAAAGCTTTTCTAATTCTTCTTTGGATCTCTAACTCTTCTATTTGTCTTGTTCTATAGCTGCTTGCATGAAGGACCAACTTCATGTGAAATTTATCATCATTCCAACTAAAGAAATTAAGAGCTATGGCGTTGATCAACATTTTACATACAAGATAATTTGATAGTTTGGAACTTATATTTCTTTTGTAATTCTCATCTTTTACTGATACATTTGATAATCGGAGCCATTTTCTTGCACTATAGTTCTATCAAATATAAGCTATAGATTGTAGTCGAGGGGTTGTTTTCGATAGAACCCCGATTTAATAAAAAATTAAAAAATTCAAAGCAGTTTAAAGAGGAAGGGCTATTTTAATTAAAGTTTTCTTTTTTTACTAATTCATGCTCTAAGATTGTCGCACTTGCTAAAATACCAGTATAGTTTTTTTGTTTATGTGTATTTCAATTTTAGGAAAATTTATTTAAAAAAGAAGACAATTCAGTGAATGCTCACTAACAATTGTGATAGTGCAATGCATGGTAGTGAAAATTTTGAGTTCTCAAGGAGTGTACGTTATTTTGATTAAAAATCTTTTTATTTGATTGTGAAAGCACTTAGTTGTGGAGAAGAGCAGGACAATTTTGTTTGGCCAATTGAAGTTCCCTTAACTGGGAAGATTTGTCTACCAAAGAGCCGTTGCAATGTGGAGACTGTAAGAAAATGTCAACTTGTCTATTATGCCTACAATTACAAGAAGGTAGACGAACGAGGCTTCAAGGTGAGTGTTTTACCTCCGTTAAGCTTTTTATATGTACTTTGAATAAATAATATGTTCTTGAGTATGTATTTGTTTATGATAATCAAACTATAAAGAGAAAAGTCATAATTGTTCGTACAAAATGATACACGTTGGGCCCGTGCATAGGACGTGCATTTTACAACTCAAAGTAACAATGTTGGTTCGTCTTCTCGGTCACATGATCGTGAAATGCAAATTCTACGTGAGAAAATTGTACGTACTATGTGAAGGATTATATAAAAGACTAGTACACTACAATTTATGTTCAATTTTTTTTATTGAATTAAAGTTTGATGAATTAAAGTTAGATGAAACAGTTACTTAAGTGGAGAACAAATAGCTATGTAATAATTTATTATTCAATTCTATAATTTTTTGTTTATTTGGTAAGATTGAATAAACAATTGGGGCTATTTTAATAGTTTTACAATTATGGTATTCTTATGTTTATGAGAAAATATACAACACAAAAATTTCACATCGCATGTCCAAACAAAACTTCAATTTCATCTCATAATTCCATATTATGATATCATATCATGAT